GGAGCGCGCGGAGGAGCGCGCGGAGGAGCGCGCGGAGGAGCGCGCGGCTCGCGGGAGGCGCTGCTGCAGCTGCTGCTGCTGCCATACAATCTTCTGACGTCGCTGCGGCGGGCGCTGGGTAGCGACTTCCCGCTCCTCCAGCTCCTGGACCTGAGCAGCAACGGGATCACTGCGCTGGGGCCGGAGCTGCTGAGGCTGAGAGGCCTGCGCACGCTGCAGGTCACGAACTACCGGCTCGGTGGCCCGGGCTCGCTGCCCAACGGCGTGGCCCAGTCACCACTCTGCCGCAGCCTTCAGGTACTCAACGTCAGCGGCAATTGTTTACAGGAGCTGCCTGCCTCGCTGCTGGAGCTGCGGGCGCTTCAGACCCTCATCCTGGGCGGCAACCAGCTGCAGAGCATCCCCTCCAAGATCGAGAACTTGCAGAGTTTAGAATGTTTATACCTTGGAAGAAACTTCATTAAAGAAATCCCACCAGAATTAGCAAATCTGCCTTCTCTGAATTACTTGGTGTTGTGTGACAACAAGATCCAAAGTGTGCCATCTCAGCTTGCACAGTTGCATTCGCTTCGATCCCTCAGTCTGCACAATAACTTGCTGACATACCTGCCTCGAGAGATCCTTAACCTTATTCACCTGGAAGAATTGAGTTTACGAGGAAACCCATTGGTTGTTCGTTTTGTTAGAGATTTAACATATGACCCTCCAACTCTTCTGGAATTAGCTGCAAGGACCATTAAGATCCGAAGTAGTTCTTACACTCCCTATGATCTTCCTGGGAATCTTCTTAGATACTTGAGTTCAGCCAGCAATTGTCCAAACCCAAAGTGCGGTGGAGTCTATTTTGAATGTTGTGTCAGACAAATTAAGTTTGTGGACTTCTGTGGGAAGTACTGCCTCCCCCTCATGCACTATCTGTGTTCTCCAGAATGCTCCTCCCCCTGCCCCTGCAGCTCCGCCTCATACAGCTCCATGTCCCAGAGTGAGTCTGACTCAGAAGATGAAGCCAGTGTTGCTGCACACAGAATGCAGAAAGTTCTTCTCGGTTGAGCAGCAGTGGATATTGAAAAATATTAAAACACTGAGCAGAAATGACTTTAAAAAAAATGGATCTTGAAGTTGTTTGGAGACCTGAGCGTTTTCATCTTGAATGTCCACGTAAGAGTTGGCGTGATGTGAAAGAGCTTTTGCATTCCATCTACACATTTGTCAGCAGTGAGTCCAGTTCCATGTTTAGATTCTTTGAGTGTAATTTATTGTGAATGGCAGTTCAAAGTTCAGCTGATTGTTCACAATTTACATGTAAGTCTTTGAAGAAACACTAACAGAATGGTTCATTCTAAATAACAATCATGTAATCAGCCGGAAGTGGAATCACCTGGGACAGCTGAGTTGACCATAGAAGTCATCACAGTTCTGTTACCAGGGTTGTCCTGGTTTATGCTGAACACTATACAGAAATAAAATGAGCCTTCTCCTTCTGTTACTCCTGGACTGTTGAAAGCCTTGCTGACCAACTAACTGGACAGTAAGGATGATAACTTTTAAATGGAATATTTAAACCAGCTCTTGTTTTGTGTGATTGTTACTAACTTTCTAAAATCTCGCAGTGATGTGTTATAGTGCCTTAATTCTAGCAAGATTATGGAAGCTTATTATAGAAATTATTTCAGAGCAACCTACAACCTGACACTGTGCAAAACACTTAGAATTGTACTTTAACCAACTAGTTGAACAATTGTACAGATAATACCTGAGGTTTGAGGGCCTGGAACTCAGAGATCCACCTGGAAAATCTGCCATCTGGTGGAGAGATGGGACATCTTCCAGGTGGCAGTTCCAGGCCCCCCCGCCCCTTCCCTAATTGCTGATATCACAGGTGTACACCACCAACTGCTTCCATGGCCATCTTTACTTCGTTTTTGTCAACTGCAGTGATCTCAGCAGTTGGGTTTTACACTTAATGAGAGGCTAAAGTCTTCATCTGTCTAGTCACCAAAAGACAGAATAAAAGTCTGTGACCAAAAACATCTAGATGACAAGTAGTCTATGAACAGCTGCTTTATAATATTGGACTAAGTGAGGAAAAGTTGGGCATAGATGTGCAGACCTCCAGATCAGCACTTGGGAGACAAGAGGCAGAAGAGCAGGACTTCCGAGTTCACCTAGGCTCCATAGTGAATTTGAAGTCAACTTGGGTTACATACATGAAAACTTGTCTCAAAGCAGGTGGATTTTAACCTAGTGTGTCTCGCTTGTTCCTCTTGTTTACTAAACCAAGCCATCCTCTACATTTAGAAGAGAAACTACAGCTACATAAACGTGAAAGTGAAGCAGAGCCCATTATGTTCATCCACAGTAGAGTGGTTCACAGAGGCAGCATAACCATTGAGCACTGAAGGATTAAGAAAACAGTAATATCTTAAGGTGTGGAAGAAAAGTAGTAACACAAATTACTGTCTTTGGAAATTAATTTTGCTAGCTAGTTGATTATGCAATTAAAAATACTAAAAGTATAAGTTAACATTAGAAAATATGTAACTCTCACTGCTGACCATTAACCAACCTGTAATAACAGGAAGCCTCGTTGGTAAGTGCAAAAAGTTGTTTCAGATTCCATTAGAGCACTGGGTGATCTGTGAAAGAGTGCTCTATTAGAAGCCAACTATATGCTCAAAGCATTTGTGTGTTAGGTTTCTTGTATATATATATTAGTAGAATATATTAGTAGGTTATAGGGTAATTCAGGGTTTGTATGTGTGTTTGTGTTACGTCACGGAACACGAGAATTTTGTGGCTGCAGTTGTGAAATGCTGCTATAGTGAGTCCCTTTACCTTTCCCTCAGAATAGTGTAGGAAGATTAGTTTTTTCTTTTTTTGGTTTAGAAGTTTTCTTCCTGTGTTTATAGAAATGATGTTTCTACTGCTAATGTAATTGTATGATAGACAGTATAAAGTCTTTGTTTGTTTCACCAAGTAAGCATCTGTAAGCTGCAGACTGCAAGGTTGGGAAAAGCAAAGATGACTTGTAAATGCTTTGTAATTAGATCATTTCGTTAAGCAACACTGAACATTTTCACGGAAAATGCTCAAATTGATGGGACCTTACTGCTAAGTTTATTAGTAGTAGTAGTAGTTATTATATTGGTCCCTGCTGCTGGGAAGGTGTTCACATCAGTCCTCATAAAGGAGAGCCAGTGAGACTCCCTTCAGCCTTGCTCTTCCCAGAGCTGGAAAGTCGTCCCTCCTTGACCTGTGTTCATACTACAGCAGGTGGCCTTGGTTAATCTTTACCTTTTCATTGTGTTTTTTAAAATCTACAAATCAAGTATTTAGTAGTAGCTATTTACATATAAAATATGTGCTTATTCTCTTAAGTGTCCCTGTGAGTGTATTTGTAGACACAACTTTACAGTAAATGTGTAAGTGAACGGTTATTTAGCTGCCTTTAGATTTAAAGTGCCTTTACCTCAGTGATTTGTCTCTCATCTAAAAGTAGACATTTTATTGTAAGTATTGCTTCTTGTTTAGTCCAAAATACTGAGTTTTTAAGTTAGACTAGGCATAGAACACAGTGAAGGTGCTGTGTAGGCTTTTAGGCAGCATGACATATAGCACACTGTTCTATGCCAGTGCTTAAAAAGAAGTGTTTATTTAGCCTTCACCAGCTGTACATTAGGCATGTGATGTTACATAACATTAGTAGTGTCCAGCTTTATATTTCCATTGTAGTGTGATCCTTTTAATAGTATAGTAGGCAGCAGTGTCCCTTGTGGTCTGAAAGTGCCTAAGTGTCGGAAAGAAAGTGTATTATATGATAAATTGTCCGCAGTAGCTGTGTATGCTATCTGTATTTGACTTGAGGGAGAAAGACTGCTCCTGTGGGGTTCCTTTGCCCACAACAGGGCCCACTGTTTACATAGGAAGTCTGGGAGGGAATCTTAATGACGCTGTGCCACAGATCAGAGCCCTCCAGAATCAAGGATGGAGCCCCACCACTCCCACCCTGCCCCCTGGTCAAATGGTGTATCTTTTATATAGTATTTTATTTAAAATATATATGCTAACACAAAGAATAAGAGATTTCCACCATCTTATGAAAATATTGTCACTGAGGTCTAGTGTTTCAGCAAAAATTTTCATATAGGTTGAAAAGAGGGTAGTTTAATATGAATAAAACCCTCCATTCTTTTTATATATATTTTTTGTGATCTGTATTTACTAATGATTGAATTAAGCATTCCACTAACTCACAAAGTTGAACATTTAGAAGGTAGTTCTCATAGGTGCTGCTAGCCTCTTACTTTAGTCTCATTGATTGATATAATATTCAGTCTCATGTATGTATTAAATCTAGTGTCTTAATGAAGGCTATTTACATGCAGAAAACTATCTGCATTTATCAGAGTGTACTTGATTCTTAATGAAGGCTATTTACACGAAGAAAATTATCTGCATTTATCAGAATGTACTTGATTCTTTTGGCCATACATAAATTGAATATAACTGTATTAGTTAAAACTGTATCTGGAGGCGTCTTAGATGAGTTGGCATTGCTGTTTGCTGGCACTGGAGCCGTAACTAAGCTAGTTGGTTGGTTTTGTGTATGGGGATGGTTAAGAGAGTCACTGCACAGTTTACATGGTCAGCACTGCTGTTGTGAGAAACAGTGTTAACTCACTACTCACTTTCTAACTGTCATGTCTAGACTTGGGTTGAAGTATGTCACATTCTCAGCCCACTTTGTGTGTGTGATAAGCAAAAACATAGTGAGAAAGGCTTTTAAATAACAAGTCTTAGCTTTTTAAAATTGGGGGTTCCAAAACCAACAAAAGATGCTGAAAAGATGTTACCTTTTTGGTCAAATCATTATATATGCTCTGACATCTTAATTTTCTGCACTTAAAGTCTGTGTATTAAAAATATCTGTGGAAGTATATACATAATTAAAATGTAACTCAGAAATATGATTCAACAGTGGAGTTTGTTTTCTGGAAAAAAATATAGTCCTATTGTATCAAATTTATTTTACTTTATTATGGCTAATATTTGAAAAATAATGTTTAAGGTATTTTAAATTCTTGTGCCTCTTCCCCCAAGGATATTAAAAATATGATCTTTTTTTTTTTTTTTTTTTTTTTTTTTGGTTTTTCGAGACAGGGTTTCTCTGTGTACCCCTGGCTGTCCTGGAACTCCCTCTGTAGACCAGGCTGGCCTCGAACTCAGAAATCCGCCTGCCTCTGCCTCCCAAGTGCTGGGATTAAAGGCATGCGCCACCACTGCCCGGCTAAAAATATGATCTTATATTAACTTAAAAAAAAAAAAGAAAAGAGTAGCATCCCTTAGGTGAAATCTTCAGGGAAGTGTTTTCTGAGAGTACAAAGAAGCTGTGTTCCAGAGATAGCCAAGGATCTACTTCATGACATAGGTGTACTTGGTCATGTATAAAAATCACCCAGGTGATACTGGTTTTGAAATGATGAAGGTGTAGCAGCTGATACTAGTCACTGTGAGAGGCCATGAGAGGCCACTGGTGAAATGGCAGTCTCACTGTCAGTTGAAGGCCCAGGACTGAAGGAGTCATGTACAGAAGCTGAGGCTTGACACCTTGAAAAGAACCTGTGAAAAACTTTTTGGGAAAGTGCAGATCAGTTGCAGCAGAAGACTCTAGCATTTCGGGGATGTTAGAAGCATGGGATAACCACCCAAAACAACAGCAGCAGTGGAATGATGTCAGCAGCAGCCTAGAAGACAAGCTGTGTGCTACTAGGTGCAGAGCTTGAGATGTGAGGCAAGCCCTTTCAGGAGCCCAGAAGATCATGAGTGGATACAAGACATTGGAGTATTAGAGTTTGATTTTATTTTTATTTGATTGTGTCTGTGCTCTGATATTTTTCCTCTTGAAGAAGGAATGCATTCTAATGGAACCCACAGTTAAGAGTCTTTGAATTGTAAAAGACTTTGAATTTTAAAAGTGAGTAGATATTTAAAAGGGGTTGAAATTTTAATATGTAAGAATTTTGAAAGACTGTGGGACTTTTAAAGTTATT